CCCTGAGCTGGTTTCCCTCTTTTCTTTGGTTCCGGGAGTTTTCCGTGGCAGACCCTTGGGTGGACATATGCCTTCACTGCTGTCTCCAGCTGACCAAGCTAAGGGTTTAACGGTTTAGGGTGTAGGGTTTTGGGGCTACACCCTCACACGTTGCTTTTCTTTTCATTGTTTCGCAGACGATGCCTTTAGGGTTGCAGGATGAGAAACAAAACTCGGAACCCTTTTCTTCTTCTTCGGCCTTTAGGGAACCCCAACCCTAAATTCTAAACCCTACATTCTAAAGCCTAAACCCTATGCCCCGAAGAAGACGAGCCAAGGTTTTGTTGGCAGCTCCTTCCGAGCTTACTACATCCGACGCAGTAAAATGGACAGGGCAGCTGCAGGCCTCGAAGTGATCGAAGAACGTCCAGCAGTACAGCAGTTCCTTGGTCGAGGGTTTAGGGTTTTCAGGAAGTCATTTGCATGTAAGCTACCGAGGGCATCATATAATCTCACAAAAAAAGAGCAAGAGTTTTTTTCTTGTTAAGCTGATTCACTTTGAGCTCCTTCAACAGCAGCCCAGGTTCGCGCTGTTGGTCGAAATTGAGCTTGAGCTTGGAAAGCGACATGTCCTGTCTGAAATCCTTGACATGGAGGTCCAACCACCCGAGGCGGACTCCCAGCCTTCAATGTTGGTGGCACGCTTTCGCAAGGGAGACAGCATTCAACCCTTTTCCTGGCAAGAGGCGCTGCTCATGACTATTTCAGTTGCCGTAATCCGAAAGTGTGACGGCGCTCTCAAGACGTTGTGCAAGTCTTGTGGGATCAATGATAACGAAACTTTGCGGGACGAGAGCCGGGCGCTTTTCCTTGAGCCAGACAGAGCCTCCGTCCTTTCCTCGAGAATTCCGGAAGACTACGAAGACGACGCCATGTATTTTTTCGACATCTACACATTGATGTCAGGCGAAGCAGTTGTGGCTTTGACATCTTTCCGGATTGAGTTTGGAAACCCTCCGCTTCCACTCAAGAGTCTGATTGCCCGTTGGGCAGAGCTGGGAGAATGGATGTAGCCATCCCGCAACCTCCACATAAACCCTAAAGAATAGAACCCTAAACTAAACCCTGAACCCTAACCTAAACACCAGACCCTAACCTAAACCCTCAAGGAAAGTTCCTTTCCTTGAGGGTCTTGGTACCATACGCCGGCACCCCGCTACCGGCACCAACTATGGCACCATCATTGACACAGGATGTTCGAGCACCCCTGGAGCCAAGCACAGAACCCTTAGAAGCTTGCCGGTTAATTTAGAGTTTAGGGTGTGTAGGGTTGAGGTAGTTTTAGGCCGTTTAGGCAGTTTAGGTAGTTTAGGGTTTAGGGTGTAGGACCTACCGTTTCAACATCAACGCGAAGTCAGTCAAAAGCACGCCCATATGTTGATCGTTGGGTGATCCATGAGGGTCGTGCAGCCGTCAGCCAGCTGAAAAGCGTCTTCGTGCTTTAAGGTTTAGGGTTGAGGGTTTAGGGTTTGGGCGTTTGGGTTTAGGGTTTAGGCTACTGCTGCTAGTACTTCTTTGAACCTGAGCATCAGCAAACCAGGGCACAAACAAGCTCCTGAAAGGGCAGACAGCATCCCGCATTATCTGTACATACATCGACAGCACATGGCTCTAGACTCTTCGAAGAAGGAGGGTTTAGGGTTAGGGTTTAGGGTTTCGGATTTCGACGAATATTCTGCTGGTGCCGGGTCGTATGCAAGAACCAGGCAGGAGCAAAATACCTTCCCTCGCGCTGCCTGAAGCCACGCCCCGCCCCCCGCCCCCCCCCCCCCCCCCCCCCCCCCCCCCCGGTGTTTGAGGGGCTTAGGAGGTCTGGGTGGGGTTCGGGGTTTAGGTTTTAGGGGGCTATAGGTTTAGGGTTTAGGGTTTAGGGTTTAGGACGGTAGGATTCAAAGCCGGGGCGTCGGGCTTCCTAGGAAACCCGAGGTCCCCAAGCAGGAGTTACACAATGAGCATCTATGGGTTTAGGGTTCAGGGTTTAGGGTTTAGGGTTCAGGGTTCAGGGTTTAGGGTTTAGGGTTTAGTGTTTAGGGTTTAGGGCTATGGCTGAGGGCTGGGGGTCAGCACCTGCAGTCATTTGAGGGAAGGGCCCGTCAAACATGTCACAATGAGCGGGATACGGAAGTAAGCCCAAGAATCCCAATCTATTCATCCTCACATCAAATAAGTCAATCCTTGCTCAACTTGCAAGCCTCGTGCCCTGCCTGAATTTCCAAAACCCTAAACCCTAAACTCCAAACCTTAAACCCCCACCACCCAGGCATGCACCCCCTTGTACAAGCCCATTCAAGTAACCCAAATCCCAAAACTGCCCCTACACAGCCCTAAGCCCTGAACATTCAGTTTCCCCGAAGCCCTCGAACCCAAACCCCAAATGCCTTATTAAAGCCCTCAGCCTTAAACACGGAAATTGCACGAAGCCCTAGACAAACCTTAACCCTAAACCGGTTTAGGGTTTAGGGTTGAGGGTTGAGGGTTGAGGGTTTAGGGTTTAGGGTTTAGGGTTTTAGGGTTTTAGGTTTTTAGGGTTTTAGGGTTTTAGGGTTTTAGGGTTTTAGGGTTTTAGGTTTTTAGGGTTTTAGGGTTTTAGGGTCTCTGGCAAGGCCGAATCGCGCGACTTGCGCACGGCGTTGAACAAGCAGTCTGAGGCTGGGTTTTTGTTCCGAGGTTTGGGTATCCGGGCCTAGGGTTTAGGGTTTAGGGTTTAGGGTTTAGGGTTTAGGGTTTAGGGTTTAGGGTTGAGGAGGAAGAAGGAGGGTTGGAGGTGGTTCGTGAGACATTGAATGTTGGCGGTCCAACCTCGGGGCTGTTAGGGTTTAGGGCTTGGGGTGTGGGCTTTAGGGTTCAGAGTTTAGGGTTCAGAGTTTAGGGTTTAGGGTTTAGGGTTTAGGGTTCAGGGTTTAGGGGTCTACTGGGTTTAGGGTTCAGGGTGCCTGGGCCTCTTTTCGCTCGTTTAATTGGCTACTAAAGGCTGCCCCCCTTTTTCTTTCTCGGGTTTAGGACCGAGGGATGGGTTTAGGGTTTAGGGTTTAGGGTTTAGGGTTTGGGGTTTGGGGTTTAGGGTTTAGGGTTTAGGGTTTAGAGTTTAGGGTTTAGGGTTTAGGGTTTCGGGTTCAGGGTTTAGGGCCACGGGCTTCGAGTCGGAACGATGGGATGGAGGTGTGGGAACTGCGGGCTCGAGTGTGTCAACGTTTAGAGTTGCTGGGTAGGCCCGCGGATGTTTTTTTACATTTTCCCTCATTGGGTTTAAGAGGATCAAACCCTCAGCCCTAAACCCAGATGGACTTAGGGATGTTCGGATATTTCATGTTTATTTGGTTTAAGTTAAGGGTGATATCTAGGGCTTTCTTCGTCAGAGGGTTTTTAAAGGGCCATCCTCAGTTTGTAGAGCTCTTTGCGTAAGAAGTTGCTGGCTCTAGGGTATAAACCTACCCCCCCTTATTTGAGGAATAGACCATGATTTGCGTTAAGGTATTTTCCTATTTAAGGTTAAGGGGTATGAGGCTCTTTGGGGAATTTGATTTTATGTTCTTGGTTTCTCATTAATGAATATGCCTGGGCTCCCAGTCTTCGAAGCTTGGATGGCTTCCCAGAACGTTCGGGTGGTGGGGGGTGGGTGGGCTGGGCGGGGTAAACCCTAAACCCTAAACCCTAAACCCTAAACGTGGGGTCAAGGTTTTAGGCACCTTTTTTGTTCCAGGCAGGCACATGGGATGCTCGACACATCTTCTCACATCTCCCCTATAAGTCTCATGAGAGGAATCTTCAAGCAGCCTAGAACCAAAGCCTCCACACAAAGCACACACCTGAACTCCAAATCCCACCGTGCATTCCTCCACGCCGCGTCGACCTCCACGTCGTGTGCGGCAGCCTTGTCTGCTGCTGCCTTCGCCCCGACAGCCTGCTCTGCCACCACCCTTGCACGACGAGCGGCTGCCCCTGTCCTGCAATCTCGTGAAGCTGCTGCTCAGCCGATCCTTTCCACAAAAACCCTAAACCCTATAAACCCTATAAACCCTAAACCCTAAACCCTAAACCCTAAACCCTTGTTGGAGCTGGGGCCGGCTTCGGTGCTGCGGGTGCCTTTGCTGAAGGAGCTGGGGCCGGCTGCGGTGGTTGAGGGGCCTGCGGGTTACGGAGGGTTTAGGGTTTAGGGTTTGTGGTACCTCCAAATGTTACCTCGGCCTTGTAGTCGTCGTTTTCTGACGTGGTCCCCAATCTCTGTCGGGCTTCTGCTCTGAGAAATCCGTTGGACTCCATGCCAGCACTGCAGGGCAGGCATCTGATTCCCAAATCCTAAACTGCTCAGCCCTAAGCTCGGTTTAGGGTTTAGGGTTTAGGGTTTAGGGTTTAGGCTCTATTGCTGAGCAGTTTGGGGTTTAGGAATAAGATGCCTGCAAGTACTGCTTTTTTTCTCCTTTGGCGACATTGCCACATCTTCCAGAACGGCCGACTGCGGGCCGATACTGCTCGGTTTAGGGTTTAGGGTTTAGGGTTTAGGGTTTAGGGTTTAGGGTTTAGGGTTTAGGGTTTAGGGTTGCCAAAAGTGACCTGACCCAGCAGCAAGACTTGTAACCGGCCGTCCTCCCAGTCCCAAACGAAACCATGTGAGCGTTTACAGAACATACCATGATATCTAGGAGACTAACGGAGGGTCAGGGTAAAACCCAAGCAGATTGACTTGTTTTTTTCGGCTCAAGTTCGTAGCGACGGGAAGCGCGTCCACTTCCCACCCGCCCCACACACCACACCCGCACACAGCTGCTTCTCAAAACCTTAAGCCCTGAACCCTAGAATCCTGATGAACCCTAACCCTGAACCCTCAACCTTAAACCTCAAGAGCAGCCAACCCTTAAGACTATACGGCTGCCAGTACATTCTCTCAAATGAATGACGGAAGTGTGCTTCATGTCCTCTCTCTGCAGACTTTCGAAGCCCAGCAGCCTTGAAGGAAGGCGATCATGAGGCCCAGGCTCGTCCGCTCTTCACCCTTCGCCAGCTTCCTTGGCTACTCCGAGCTTGGAGTGGTGAGGGTTCTGGGTGTCGAGGTCCTTGACCTAGTAGAAGCCTTATACAGGGTTAGGGTTTAGGGTTTGTTGTTTAGGGTTCGGGGTTTAGGGTGGGTTTATCTGGCGTATACTGTCGAGGGTGTAGGTTTTTTGAGTCTTGGGCTCTTCTTGAGCCTAGGCGTGGAATGGCGGGAGGCCTGTTCGTCTAAGCTGTCAGCTGCTGCAGATAACTTCGCGACGCAGCACATCGTGGAGCCTTTGCTACAAGCCATCCGAACCCCCGGAAGGATAACGCTCGACCAGCTCGCGCAGTACTATCTTGACAAGGGCCACTCCAGTGGGTTCACGTTGCAGGCAAAGTCATCTGACGTCCCTTTGCCAGCTGGCTGGCGTGCCGGTGATCAGGCGGGTGCAGGGCTTCGGGCTACCCTAGGCCCCAAACCTCACGTGACAGCAACAGGCAGAAGTTCCACAAATTGCAAATTGGGGCGACCGATATGTCACTGGTCACCCTGGTCAGGGCCCTCAAGTTATAAGTAGGGTTATAAGTGCCCTAACATGGGTGGTTTTCAGGAGGTGATAGCTCCCTTAGCTGAAGTTCTGATAGTTAAGGGACCCCTGCTTGTAGGACCTACTATATAAGCGTGTTGGGGCCTGGGGTTAGGGTTTATGCGGGTGAGGGCTTAGGGTTTGGGGGTTCGACTGCATTGGAGTTTAGGGTTCAGAGTTCGGGAGCCTGAATATTGAACTGTGACAGCGACAGGTCCAGGCCGAGCTTTGCTATGCAAGGCTGCAGCGAGATGCTTACTTGGCGGAACCTCCGTCTGTAATGGGGGTGGTTAGGGTTCGGGGGTTAGGCGGTTTAGGGCGTTCCCTGAAAACCGTAAACTCTAGCCACCATGTGAGCCAAACAAAAGCCATTCCCAAGCCTTCCAACTAGGACCGAGAGTAGGCCCTGATTCCCAAACTTCTGGGGTTTTGGTTCCCTTTTCAGCCCCTTTAAGCCAAAATGGGCACCCTTTTCTTTCCTTACCTTCTTGAAATGGGTTCTGAAGTATGGGCCCTTGGGTTGCATAGGGTATATGACGGGTGAATAAGGGGCCCCCCATGTAAGGGCCCATGCTAAGGGGCCACGCAACTACCCGTAGATTCTGCTCAACAGTTCAGGAATCTGTGGCTGAGAGGTTGCTGGTCGATTTCCAGAGCAAGTGCTTCTCCTGGCGCGAAAGCCCATCGGACATTGCCAAGGGAAGCTTTGCACATTCCAGCATCGCACCGCCAGAAGTATCCCCACTTCCAAAAGCATGGCCCGGTTGGTCCAGATTCTTGGTAGCCGAGTGGTACCTTTGTGCCCAATTTTGTTGGGTTCGAGGTTCCCTTCTCAAGTAACCAACTTGTAATATGGCTACTGGGCTACCTAGGATTCAAGGCCTGCTTCACCTGGAGGGAGGCCAGCGTCGAGGAAAGCCAGGGCGAGGCCTTCAGGGGGTATTGTTGCGGAAGCAATACGCACATCTATGCGCAAGTGGAAGGCAAGTGGTTCCACAAGCCTTCTGAAATGGTTGAGGTGGAGGGTCCACGTGGCTGGTGTAGGACAAGTCGGACGATTGAGGATCAGAGTGCATGGGAGCGGCCAATCGTGACACCGGCTGCTGTCTTCTTCGATTGTGAGCTGTGCTTAGTTGAACGCCACTACAGCAGAATGAAGGCGTATTCCGAAAGGTGCGATCTTGCAATGAAGCTTCGGCACCTCTTAGATGGCGAGGTGCTGGCAGCTGCGATTCGCATCGTACGGTCACGAAGAAGCGACACTCACCAGCACGACTAGTGCAGACCGCGTGCTGGCAAAAGTCCGACTTGAGGGCTTGCCCAAACCCTCAGTTTACAGGGCGCAGGGTTTGTTCAGGGTGTGCGGGCTTTCACTTTTGGATCCGTACGTGACTTTGTCATAGCGCGGTGGCGTTTTACATTTTTAACGGTACTTTTTTAGTACTCTCCCAACCATGAACTATGTCAGTAGCCAAGTGCCCCCTCTAGGGGGCAAGGCTGAGATCAGGCGAACATCCTGGGACAAAAAGTTTCTCATGATTCGGCATGGAGGCCTCGGGCCCTAGCCCTAAACCCTAAACCCTAAGCCCTTAGCCCTTAGCCCTTAAGACGCTATCCGAGGCCTCCGCACCAAACCTCACCAACCCCACTTGGGGGTTTCCGACACTAGGGGTACCTTGTTGGGGTCCTTACTACAAGGGGATCCTACTCTTTGGGGGACTACCTCCCTATACCCTAAACCCTAAACCCTAAACCCTAAACGTAAGCCCCCACTTCACCCCATTCCCGAGGTCGCCTCAAATGGGCTCGCCGTGGCCAGCTTAGATTCCAGATTTCGGATTACCCTAAGGGATCCATGTACCTATATAGTTTAGGGTTTAGGGTTTAGGGTTTAGGGTTTAGGGTTTATACTTGGGCCTTAGAGGGGTCCTATAGCAGCTTTATAGGGCTGGAGGTGCCTGGATCCTTAGGGTTAGGCGTAGCTGCTAGGCTTGGGTTTGAAGGCTTTTAGCTCAAAGCTTAGGTAGTTTTCGGCCCTCCCCCCCACCCTCTAAATTACAGTTCAGGGTTTAGGGTTTAGGGTTTGGGGTTTAGGGTTTAGGGTTTAGGGTTTAGGGCTGCTATTCCAGCACCAACCATGGCCACAGGGATGTCTCAACAGGTCTTGCAAGGAATTGGTGCAGATGAAGCGTGCCTATCAAGGGCCTAAAGGAGGGACCCTTACAAGGGACCTTGGCGGTTATTGAGGGGTCATTTGGTATGTACATAGGGACTAAATAAGGCATTCATAGGCTTGTAGGGGTGCAAAACCCTAAACCCTAAACCCTATTAAGGGTCCCTCGTAGCGGTACCTCCTGATACCCCTCAATGCCTGGAACCGTTGTCGGCGCTGTGCGTCCGGGAGTGTGTCTTCTGCGGAATGTCATGTGGTGAGGGTTTAGGGTTTAGGGTTTGGAGTTCGGGGTTGAGGGTTTGGGGTTTGGGGTTTAGGGTTTAGGGTCCTTATGACAGGGCAGCAAGGATGTTGGTTTAGGGAGTTGCCCAGTTCTACATTGCTGATGTTGTGGTCCAGGGCTTACACCTGGTCAGGGCTTGAACCCTAAACCCTAAACCACATATGCTAGGACCCAGAGTAGGCCCTTATTCCTTTGATTTTAGGGTTTACGGTTTAGGGTTTAGGGTTTAGGGTTTAGGGTTTAGGGTTTAGGGTTTAGGTTCTCTTATCATTCTCTTTGAACCACAAGGGGGTGCCCTTTTTATACCTAGGTCACTCTTGGGTCTAGGTTCAGAGTTAGGGTTTCGGGTTTAGGGTTTAGGGTTTAGGGTTTAGGGTTTAGGGTTTAGGGTTTAGGGTTTAGGGTTTAGGGTTTAGGGTTAAAAGCTTTCGGACATGTCTGTTGCATGTTTGCTTATGTGTGTTGTGTGCCCTGGTGTTTCTCACTTCACCTGATGCTGTCACGCAAGTCCATGAAGAAGTACGTGAAGCAACACCGAGCTTGGGAACTAGGGTTCTAGGGCAAAAACACCAAAGCCTGAACCCTCAAACCCTAAACCCTGAACCCTAAACCCTAAACCCTGAACCCTCAAACCTTAAGCCCTCAACCCTGAACCCTAAACCCTAAACCCCTAAACCCTAAACCCCAAACCCCAACCCTAAACCCTAAACCCTAAACCCTAAACCCTAAACCCTAAACCCCAAACCCCAAACCCTAAACCCTAAACCCTAAACCCTAAACCCTAAACCCTAAACCCTAAACCCTAAACCCTAGGAGCGCTTCAAGACGCTCGAAGCCCGAGTTCTGGCTGACCTCGGAGGATCCTAAAACCCTTTGGGGCTTTTGGGCCTTTAGGGTTTAGGGGTTTAGGGTTTAGGGTTTAGGGCTTGGGGTTTAGGGTTTAGGGTTTAGGGTTTAGGGTTTAGGGTTTAGGGTTTAGGGTTTAGGGTTTAGGGTTTAAGCCTAAACCCCCTAAAACCCCAAGACCTCTAAACCCCTAAGCCCTAAACCCCTAAATCCTAAACCTTAGGGATTTTTGGGGTTTTATGGAGCTAAGGGGTTGGGAACTCATCGGTTCTGTAGGACTTACAGATCTGAAAGGGCTTTCAGGGTCGGGGTTTTGGGGTTTAGGGTTTAGGGGTTGAGGGTTTAGGATTTAGGGCTTAAAGGGTTTAGGATTTACGGTTTAGGGTTTAGGGGTTTAGGGGTTTCGGGGGTTTAGGGGTTTAGGGGTTTAGGGCTTAGTGAGTTTTTGGGCGCAAGGTCTCCGTGAGCTGGGTTTAGGACACAATCCTATACAAGCCCAATCGAAAATGTGTACCAGCTCTAGTGAAGCAAGTTATGAATAAGACTTGGAACCCAATTTTTGGCCCTGAGAAGGCTGGGATATTGCATTCAGGGTGGCTTAGCTTTCGGGCTTTAGGGGCTAGGTAGGGTTTTGGGGTCTAGGGTTAGGCTGCAAGTTCAGGGTCAACCCTAAGCCTTTTGCAGAAGTGAATACACTCTTTGGTAGCCCCTGACATCCTGAGAACCCGATCTTTGCGGGAGAAGCAGAGGGTTTAGGATAGACTTTCGGGTGTAGGCTTTAGGGCTTAGGGTTTAGGGTTTAGGGTTTAGGGTTTAGGGTTTAGCTGTGAAGCTTGCTTGGCATTGGCCGTGCCCCTCACAAACGCCTAACATAAGCGTCCTTAGCCCCTCAGGCGGGATATAAGCCCTCAGCCCTATGCCCTTTAATATCTTCACAGCCTCAGGATTTCTAGCAATGCACCCGAAACACTATACCCAAAACCCTAAACCCTAAACCCCCAGTAGGGGTTCAGGGCTTTTCGGGCTTAAAGGCTGAAAGCCCTGAGTAATCCCTTCCCTCGAATATTAAACCCCACCCCCTACCCGCTAATATTAATTACCCCCCCGTTATGGTTAAACTATAGTATATGAGGGGGGGGGGGGTATTTAATATCAGGGGAAACCCTAAAAACCCCAAAAACCCTAAAAACCCTAAAAACCCTAAAAAACCTAAAAACCCTAAAAACCCTAAAAACCCTAAAAACCCTAAAAACCCTAAAAACCCTAAAAACCCTAAGCCCTAAACCCTAAAAACCCTAAAAACCCTAAACCCTAAACCTTAGGGGGAAGGGCTTGGTGCTTCACATGGCTTGGGCGAAGGAAGTGGTGAGTCGAGCGAAGGCCGCCCCAAGGCCGGATGGGCCTCTGACAATCCGCTTCGTGGTGGGTTTAGGGTTTAGGGTTTAGGGTTTAGGGTTTAGGGTTTGTAGGGTTTAGGGTTTAGGGTTTAGGGTTGAGGGTTGAGGGTTGAGGGTTTAGGGTTTCAGGTTTAGGCAGTTAGTGTTTGCACTTTTTGCTTGCAGTTTCAAGCTTAGGGTCCTCAGCCGTAAACAAGTCGGTCCAAAGCAAGCCTTGGCTGAGCAACACAATCTTGGCAAATCGCAGCAGCTACCGTTGAGGACGCTTAGCACTCAGACACCAAAAAGGGTTCAGGGTTTAAGGCTCAGGGTTTAGGGTTTAGGGTTCAGGGCATGAGGGTTTCAGTTGCATAGCGGAGGCTGATCAAAAGTTCCGCTTGCGGTGCTATGGGGCTTGAGATTTCATGTCTTTTCGGCAGCCTGAATTCTGGATCCCATGTCCGCCTCATTACCTGTTTTCTGTTTTCTTTGTTTTTTTCTACTATTTGCTTAAACACGCCCCCCCCCCCCCCCAAGAAATCTGAAGCATTTTCTTCCTTATAAGGGAAATGTTATCTTTCATTTTTTGCGGGCTTCTTAAGCAAGTGGTAGAGTTTTGTTGTCCACACACAGGGGCTGTTCCCCAAATGTCAAGTCGAAGCTCGAGTTTCGGTGAGGGTTTCGGTTTCGGGTTTAGGGTTTAGGGTTTGGGGTTTAGGGTTTAGGGTTTAGGGTTTAGGGTTTAGGGTTTAGGGTTTAGGGTTTAGGGTTTAGGGTGCAGACGCAGGATGCGGGCGGCCTCAAGCCCGTTGCCTCAAGCATATCCTCGTATCATCCAAGACTGGGTTTTGGAGTACTGTACTTTAATACTTTTTTTGGTTCTGGGTTCCTATTATAGCTACTTATACCTAAAAAGTATATACTTTTTTCCAGGGTCTACTCCAAAGGTAGGAAGAGGGTATAGTACCCTAAGGGTCCATGTACCTAAATTGGGAATGCTTGGGCCTTAGAGTACTTCATACATAAGGACTTTGGGGCCCCATTTATATGATAATAAGGTACATGGACCCTTAGGGTAGAGGGAATCCCAGCTCGAATCATCCTTAAGCCATGTTCCAACTTTCTGGAGTTTCCTGTAACTCAGAGTAGAATACACCTTCCAACCGGGAGGTGTGTATATTTCTGTAACGGGGAGATGGATGTTTATTCTTGAACATGTTTAGGTGCCACCACCATTTGCCGATACGTCCATGTCAGAAGAGGGAGATGTGGTACCGTTATGGGGCACATGTTTATTACTCCAGGTACCCACAGAGCCCAATACCTCTGAAGCAAGGAATGTGCTGTAGATCTTACTGAAGATCCGGTATATGTGTGGGGTTTACGATAATCAGGAACCCCTAATCTGGACCCCCAAATAGTAGGATCCCCTTATGATATGGACGAAGGTTCCCCCTGAACCCTAAACCCTAACCCTAAACCCTAAACCCTAAACCCTAAACCCTAAACCCTAAACCCGCAATCCCCCCATGTGTTTTGTTGCAGCAGGTGGGCGAGAGCCAGCAGCTCCTCAAGAAGATGACAAACAGGACCTCCACTTT